GATCTGCTTTTATTTTCACAAGAAATATGTTTAGCCTTTCACATGATTTTTCTATAAAACAGATAAAAATAAGCACAAAAATACAACAAACAATACGATATTAGAATGGGGGGAAAAGAGTGCGGTCCCACCAAATGAAGCGCACCATATATAAGAGGGTGAGCCTAGATGCACCTTAGTGAGATTCCATCCCAAAACTAATTGGTGATTGTAGGAGTATCTCACTAGGCTTATAAACTAGGCTCATTCACCCTATAGAATCGATGCGGGACAACTCACAAGTGATCCAACGATTCAAATTGTTGTTTGAGAAAAAAAAAAACAAATGTGCATTATCAAAAGAAAATTTTGTTATAATCCCAAAAAACTAAGTAAAATATGTCATTACTAGATATCAATTAGTTTAATCGTAAAAAAGTACTGAACAACAATAGAAAAGGATGACAAAATCCTTCTCGAGTATGGTCTTAGTTTCGGATTTCGGGATATGCATGATAACTAAATCCTGAAATTAACAAGGTAGATTACGGCTCGGGACAAAATTGACATTTTATATATGTCAAGGGGGCTGAAAGTGTAAATATACCTTCAAATGGGACGTACCAATAAAATCAAGAATTGCAAGTGTATAAATAAATATATAAGTTACAAGTTGCAACTTCTGGGCCATATTGTCTATCTATAGCTTTGCAAGATGCTCTCGGATTACAAATAAGAGTTAGATTAAAATTAGGTGAAATCAAACCAAAGTCTCGTATACAATAGAAAAAAGAAAAAATGAGAGGCATTATAGCCCAAGCCATTTTTTTCGTAGCCATTTTTCTCCCCATCAGCATTAATGCCACAATTCTATCAACCAGCTCAAGGTGGATCGTTAACCAGTACACCGGAGAACGAGTAAAACTCGCGTGCGTCAACTGGATTTCGCACCTTGAGCCGATGATAGCCGAAGGGCTCGAAAAGAAGCCCTTACACGTGATAGCTGGGCAGATAGCCGCAGACGGGTTCACGTGCGTGCGGTTCACGTGGCCCACGTTCATGTTCACCCGTCCCGATTATTACAACATCACGGTCTCCCAATCCCTCGACAGGTACAACCTCAGCGATGCAAAAGCCGGCATTTTGAAAAACAACCCTTGGAGTTTGGGGCTGAAAATCCAAATCCTCCATAAGGTTGTGGTGATAGTGCTTGGACAGCACAACCTAATGGTTATCCTCGATAACCATATAAGCCGACCCGAATGGTGTTGCAGTCTTGACGACAATAACGGGTTCTTCGGCCATCCGGATTTCGACCCGGACGAGTGGTTGCAGGGCCTGGCTCAGGTGGCTAGGACTTACCGATATACATATGGGGTCAGTACTCTTTCTACTCTATTACTTACAACAAAAAACTATTATTAATATCTAAAACGGCACCGTCACTTACACTGCCACTTAGTCAGCACATTCGAGAATTATTTACAAGGAGATATGGATATTGACGACAATTTGATTGTGTAGGTGGTGGGTATGAGCATGAGAAATGAGCTACGAGGTAGAGATGAAAATGTGGAAGATTGGTATAAATACATGCAACAAGGAGCCATGACCATCCACCAAAACAGCCCTCAGTTTCTTGTTATAATCTCAGGCCTAAATTTCGACACTGACCTTAGGTTTCTAAAGGAAAAATCACTACCACAACTAGATTTTAATAACAAAATTGTACTTGAGGCCCATTGGTATGGATTTACTTTCCCGACTATGTCGATCCCCACCGAGTTGTGGAAAGCCCAAACGAACAAGTTTTGTGCCGAGGTGACTCAATCATCAATGGACAATTTCCTATTCTTGACAACAGGAGATAACCCTTACCCTCTTTTTCTAAGTGAATTTGGTTTGAACCAAATGGGTCAAAATGAGGGTGAAAACAGGTATATAACCTGCTTGCTAGCTGAGGTGGCAGAGAAAGACATTGATTGGGCATTATGGACATTTCAAGGCAGCTACATTTATAGACAAGGGAAAGTTAATCCAGAAGAATCTTATGGAGTTATGAACTTCAACTGGGATGGTAATAGGAATCAGGATTTCTTGGACAGACTGCAAGTCATAAGACAGAAGAATCAAGGTAACTTTTATTACAATATATTATATTTGCAAATTTAATTAGCCATGAAATATAATCCATCGATTCGTCGTAATTTTAGCCTACATTTGTAATTTTCTCGATTTTTTTTCTGGCATGCCACATCAGTTTATGATGCACAATTTTTTTTTTTCGGTGAGGGAGTCGACTCGTCATATAATTGTAACAAAAATGTCTACTTTATGTTATGAAATATCATGCTTTTGTTTATACTAGTAAAGTGCACGTGCGATGCACGTGGTGTCGAATAATTTTCGCTTGAGCAAGCTTGTAAAATAACTTAATTTATTTATTAAACATATCATTATTGTAAAAATGAAATAAAATATAGAACAAATGAACTCTTAGAATTTACGTAATGATGTCCTAATATAGAAAGAGTGAAATAACCTTTTGCAACTCCGGACAAAAATATATAAAAAAAAATCCAAAAAAAAAAAAACACTAAGATTTCTTCTATTTTGGTTTTAACGTTCTCATAAGAAACATTCATACCCGTTGGAGTCCAATACATCAATACTATTGCAAAATTTCTCTTAATTCATTTGGCAAAACACTTGAGACAAACTCGTGTCAAATATATATTGAATTTGGGTGCTCTAGCCAAAACGTGAGAATAGTTATAAGTTTACATCCATTTTTTTTACTTTTTTTTTATTTTTATTATGAATTGTTCCAAATTTATGTAAGAAAAATATACCACAAGTTTATCTTATGTTATTTTATACTTGATAAACTTGATTCAACTTGAATATAAAATTTATTATATATAATAAACTTTTAGATCAATTTATTATTGTAAATTAGTACTTATATATATAATATTTTATATTGATATAAATAATTATATTATTTTTATTTTATTTGCAATATATTGGTCAACTCAAAATCATTGAAAAGAAATGATGTGATATATTACATATAAAAAGGGTAACAGATAGAAGATATGAAGTATTTCAAAATTAAAAAAATTAATGATAGAAAGTAATAAAATTTTTAACTAAAAAATTTTAAGATTAACACACCCACTTTTAAAGATATATATATATATATATATATATATATATATATATATATATATATATGCTCTAGTTAAAATATATGTGTATTTTAAGTATGTTTATATTTTTCTCATTAGTCAGCTCCAATTGATATTGTGCATTAAGTAATTTTATCAGTATTTTTACTTTTGAATTTAATGAAAGTTATAAGTTTCTCATCATTCTTACTACTTATATAGTTATTATAATACCAATAAAATAATTAAGAACATTTCAAAGTATCTTGTTTGTTTTGAAATAATTATTTATTATCATAAATTAAACGCTAATTACATTGAATGTGCTATATTTTCTATCATATCAAAAATTTTCATAATAATAGTTGCACACAATATTATATATAATGCAATTTTTTTTATATATTTGGAGTCCTACTTTTACTGCAAGAAAATGAGAAAATTCCAATAAAAATTACAACAAGAATATAACGATTTTCTTATGTTGAATTGAGAAAATCATGTCTTTTGGTTTCTTAAATATATTTTACCTTATTGTGACTGTATAGATTTATTAAAATGTATTACAAATGAGAAAGGTGATAGGTTATGTAAAGTATAACTTATGAATTGCAATTACATATTATTTTGATTGTATATTTTTTTCCCGTTAACTAAATAATGCCCCCAATAAGAAATTATTTTGGAGCTATCACTGCAATTAGCTTTCCAATGGAACTTTCATTGAGTTTTTGCACAATAGCAATGACAATTTTTTATAACGATTGAAATATGATCCAAAAAATATTCCAATGAAAACTTAGGTTATTGAAATCTTTAAATCCACTAAATTTTATTTAATTTAATTTGAACTATGTTGGAATAGCCAATAAAATTTTCCAATGAAAGCAATATTTATTATATATTCGTTGAAATTTTCAGCAGAATACCTTACCGTTGAATTTTTCATTGTAATATAGCAATTTTTTGTAGTCCTCTCAAACATTAATTTTTTATGTATTTTTTTTTTGGTTAATTGCGTTTACAATTTTTTTATTAAAAATATATTAAACACATGAACTTTTTTAGTTCCTATATATTCAGAAATCACTCATTCTTTTATCTCAAGATTACTTATTAATTTACCAATTGAGTTACATTTCTTACATATTAAATAATAAAAATATTTCTGGTTTTATATGTTTAATATGATATTTATATATTATATTAAAAAAACTAATATATTAAATAAAAAGTTATCTGAAATTAGAATAATAAAGATTTTTTTCTAACCTACATGGATAAATGTACAAATAACTATTGTCTATCACCTCAAATTTACACATAGTATTAATAAGGACAAAAAATTAATAAGCCTTTAACAACTCAGCTCATTTACATCGATAAGTATATTTTTAGAAGGTTTATATTTAGTTCAATTAATTATAATATTGTTTTATTTCTTTGTTTCATATTTATTAGTACGTGTCACAACTTAGTTATTTTTCTAATTATTGATCATATTAAATATTTTTAAAATTTTATCTTGTTATTTCATTGCAATATAGCAATTTTTTGTAGTCCTCTCAAACATTAATTTTTTCATGTAGTAATTATTGGTTAACTGTGTTTACAATTTTTTTTATTAAAATTATATTAAACACATGAACTTTTTAATTCCTATATTTTTTTTTTCAGCAATCACTCATTATAAAATTACCTATTAATTTACCAATTGAGTTACATTTCTTACATATTAAATATTAAATAATAAAAATATTTCTTGTTTTATATGTTTAGTATGATATTTATATATTTTATTCAAAAAAACTAATATAGTAAATAAAAATTTATTTAAAATTAGAATATTAAAGTTTTTTTTCTAACCTACGTGGATAAATATACAAATAACTATTGTTTATCACCTCAAATTTACACATAAAATTAATAAGGACAAAAAATTAACAAGCATTTAACAACTCAACTCGTTTACATCGATAAGCATAGTTTTAGAATGTTTATATTTAGTTCAATTAATTATAATATTTTTGTTTATCGCTTTATTTCATATTTCTAAGTATGTGTCACAACTTAGTTATTTTTTATATTATTTATCATATTTAATATTTTTAAAAATTTTATCTTGCTATTTCACATGTTCTAACTGTAGATTTCTCAAAAAAGGCATAATATAAAGTATAAAATTTTCTATGATCATCTGTCTCATTATATATAAATTATTTGTATATCCTATATTATATTATATTTAATTACAATTTTTTAAGTAATATTTTAATAAAATATTTATAATTCATAAATTTATTGATAATATTGTCGAGTCAACTTTTGTTCATAAGATTTTAAATAATATATTTTTTCAATGATTTGCTTATGTTGTATTGAGAAACGTTATTTTTTTTTTAGTTGTAATTGTATTGATGTGTTAAACATGTATTACAGATGGGAAATATGACAAATTATGAAAACAAGTAATTTATAAATTATAATGACATTATGGTATTTTAATGGTTTACTTTTTTCTATTAACTAAATAATGTCTCGAGTATGAAATTATTTTGTATCTACCACTGCATGTAGATTTCGAATAGAACTTCCATTGAAATTTTTACAATTCCAGTGACATTTATTTTTCCAACTATTGAAATGTGGCCCCAAAAAAAAAAAAA